CGCTCTTCCCATGCCGTTTCTCTGACCACTGTTGGAAAAAGAACTCTTCATTGCGATGTGCAAGTGTAGTATAGATAGATAGATACAATTGTAACTGTAATAAAAAGTGAACAGTAATTTTTTTAATATTACTCACCAGCTTCCTAGTGAAAGTAACAAGCAGCATTCCATTGCTATCACTTAGTTTCGCTTGACTTGGTTTGAAATTTTATTTATTCTGTTGAAGTTTTAGGATTTGAGGTTTTATCACAAGATTATCAGGCATCTCCACAGTCCTAGCAAGGGATGTAGTTGAGATTCCCCTTTGTGCTTTATTGATGTAAATGTTGGTGCTTCTTTTTCATATGCCTATTCAGTGCTAGCTTGGAATAAAGTGTTAATTAGTTCACCAGTGGTGTATTTTTGGGGAGGTAGACCTTGTTCTTAAAAAAAAAAATGACAGCAAACAGGTAACGTATTTATTATTTTGGCAGTAACTACCCACTAACAAATATATATCTGCACAAAAGCAACCTCTTGATGTGGTTTGTGAATTATCACAAGCTGAAGGATTTTAATGATTTCAGTGCCGTCATTTGCAGCTATTACTACTGTGCAGCTAATATATTAAAACTTCAGCAAATCAATAAAAATCTGTTTGGATAGATGAATGCGCTATTGAACTGTTCAGGTGAGAAAATAATATATACTTTTAATTTGGGATGAGTCGTTCGTTTTTAAGATTCAGCGTGAGGGGACATTTTTAGTGCTTTTACTTTACTGCCCTCTTGTGGACATGGAACGTACTGTCAGTTTATAACGATTCCTTGTTGACTTGGTTGGCACTACACAGTGGATAACTGAGATACTACACTATGCAACTGAGCTAGTGTAAAAGTTATGTCGTACACAATTAGTACATAATAAGCTTAGTGAAAATAGTGGGCAATTTTTTTCCTAAAGCGAACCAGGGTGAGGTCAGGTCCATAAGAAACGTAAGGCGGATTCATCATTAACTTCAGAGAAGGAGCAAGTTACATCAGTGTCTTTCTATATTTTATTTATTTATTTATTTGTAACTAATGCTTCGTTAGGTAACATCGATGGAGAGGTTCGAAAGAAATATCTCTAGGCTTGTTTGTAATCGGGTATCTTGAAATCAATGTCCAAACCTTTTCCCTCTTAATATTTGGGACAAACATTCTCCAGTAATGTATTAAGTATGGGAGCGTGACAATGTCTTTCTAAAAGAGGGATCTAATTCCTTTGTTTCGGTTTGATGGGCAGGATGAAAAACGGATTTTTCCTGCCATGGTGTCATTCGGAGATACAGTGTCCTGTATCATCATCTTTTTCGCACCAACTAAATTAAAATACACAAACATACACGTTGCGTTCAATGACGTGTAGGATAATAGTTCACACGCTTGGAGGACTTGAGGGGCTGAATGGTCTTTGTTTAATCATATTCCGTAGTAGATCTAATTGTATATATGTATCTGTGACAGGGTGGGGCTTTATGGTGTATACGCCGTTTGATTTCGTCATTGTAACAATGAAATAGATTTTGGACGACAGAGGCAATCGTTACAGGAAATGCTGCTCCTCGATGCTTGCTTAGTTAGTTAGCCTCGAGTTAGCTTGTTATGCTAGCTGGCTAACTGTGCTACTTGAGAAGAATGAAGACTTGTAACGGGACCACCGGTGTCATGGACTTGTTTGAAAAGGAAAGGGTCGTGAAAATATGTGCCCCGATGGTTCGATATTCAAAGTAAGTGGAATTCGCGTTCTTTCCATAAACATGTAGCTATTCATGTCGTTGTTTTTGCATTAAAACCCATTGTGAAAAATATTAAAGGTTAAATTCATACAGCGTTAAGCATTTAGTTGTCCTCAGGGTTTTCATCAAGCCCCTCTGCCTTCAGCGTGAAACGTACTGTACGTGCAACCACCACTTATTGAACATCTGTTGCATATTATTTGAAATATTTTTAACAGGCTTGCATTCAGGTCTTTGGTGAGGAAGTACAACTGTGATATCTGCTTCACCCCGATGATAGTTGCCGCAGACTTCATGCGTTCAATCAAAGCCAGAGACAGTGACTTCACTACCAATGAATGTGAGTAGCAACATTGTAGTATATGAGGTGCCCCTCATAGTAGTATGTGCTCTAATATTGTACTGCTCTAATGTTGTACTGCTCTAATGGCCTGCCTTCTACTACCACTACTACTACTTCTAATGCACTGTTTTTTTGTAGGAAGGTCAGTTTTGATGCACACTGAAAGTGTACTTAGATTTTCATATTACCATAACTTTGGGAAATGACATAACACGATTTTACTTTCCATTGTTGTTGTTTATTTTGTTCCTCAGGTGACCGGCCCCTGATAGTGCAGTTCGCCGCCCATGATGCTCAGACTCTGGCTGATGCAGCATGTGTAGTGGCACCTTTCTCGGACGGAGTTGACCTCAACTGTGGCTGTCCCCAGAGGTGATACATTTTGACCCGCAGTCAGATTTTATACTCTGTTATTTTAGCATTTTGATTTTACATATGATCACTGTTAGTTTGACTTGGTCATTTCTAATGAAAAATAGTATGGCTTTGTTTTTTCCTTATGCCCGTTATTTTCCTAGAATTTGGGTTGTGTGATTAACTCTGTTGTTATGTTATCAGATGGGCTATGTCAGCCGGGTATGGTGCATGCCTCATCAACAAGCCTGAACTTGTGAAAGACATGGTCAGACATGTCAGAAACCAAGTGGACAATCCAAACTATACAGTGTCCATCAAAATACGGTAAGCACAAACCAGTCTGACGTTACACTAGAGCCAGACCGATAAATCTTCTGCATTATATTGCAGGTATATCAAACACAATAGCCTCACTCATTCTTGGTCAGAATTGGATAAAACAAATCTAAGGGGTCTGGATGAAGATTGTTTATGTTGTACACTGTATGTAAAGAATTAATGTTGGAGGACAATACAGTATGTTGTTACTTTACCTGTTGCATGTTTCAGTAGAACACATTTCATTTTTAATGTACAGCTATGACCTCCCGTGTTGAAAATGGAGACAGAGCCTAATACTTATAAAGAAAGTCACTTCCCCTACAGAATTCACAAGGACCTAAGACAAACAGTGGATCTGTGCCAGAAGGCTGAATCAGCTGGTGTGTCATGGATAACAGTCCATGGGCGTACAGCAGAAGAACGCCACCAGCCAGTCCATTATGATGCCATAAAGACAATCAAAGACAGTGTATCTGTCCCAGTCATCGCCAATGGAGACATAAAGTACCTTCGTGATGTGGAGTCCATTCACCAGCTTACTGGTGTTGATGGTAGGTTTGTTTTTAGGGAAAATACACTCTTATGCAAGTACACATACCAACTTATAGATGGAGATATGACAGTATTCCTTTTTACTTTGTTCATTTCTTGTTTGTTTGTTTGTTTGTATTTGCTTATTAGGTGTGATGGCTGCACGGGGGTTGCTTGCTAACCCTGCTATGTTTGCCGGCTATGAGGAGACTCCTTTGGAGTGTATATGGAACTGGGTGGACATTTCTATAGGGCAGGGAACACCATTTACCTGCTTCCACCACCATCTTACCTACATGCTGGAGAGGGTTAGCTCCCAGCCTGAGAGGAAAGTGTTCAATTCTCTGTCTAGTACTTCAGCTATTATAGATTACCTTCAGAACACATATGGGTCAGTGCATGAACTGGGGACATGTGTTTATTGAAATGTGATAGCTTTGATTTTAGCATGTTTTTAGTATATTTTTTTTAATGCCGAATAAATCTTCAACACTATAGTTATATTGCTGATTTGTTTCTTCTTTTTTGCTATATATTTTTCCAATCAAGCCTTAAATTGAACTAATTGTGTACCTAATTAAGCACAATATTTATTTATATTTATGTATTTATGAATATTCATTAATGCTTGGCTTAAACTTGAAGTAGTACAACAAACTGAGGCTTGAATTTGGTTTTCACTGAACTGGCAGATTTAACATGCATGGGACAGTATTGCAATATAACAAAGATGATTTTTTCACATTTTGTCTTAAGAAAATAGAAAAAAATACAAATAATATACTGGCACTGATTCTTATTGAATGGAGTGTAATTAGTGTTGTTTTTAATCACGATGATGACTTGTGTGTTTCAACTGTAGCGACAGAATGACTAAAAAGACACCTGATATAATTATATGAAAGAATGCAATTGTATAAATGGGATTTTGATTGTTGCGAAGGAAAGGAATACACCGGAAATAATGCAATTTGACCTCAAAGTAAGGCCAGAATTTTTGTCATGAATCCATGTGTGCAGAAGGGCGGTGTCAGATCAGACTTTGGCATTTCTAAACGTAATACTAGTTAATAGAACTGCGCGTTTACTCGTCTTATTAACTCTTGATGATAATAATAATAATAATAATACAATAACTAAATTTGAAGGTAGTTTCATTTTGAAAGACAAGACCGGAAGCCTTCAGACTAGCTGGCTTGAGAGCCACCGTAGAAGGACCCGGAAGAGAAGCAAGATAAACTTTCCTCGGACGATTACAGAACTGAAGTAAACTTGCTCTCTTTTAGTTCGTTTTTTTGTAACTTGTTGGTAAGTCGTCTGTTTTGATGCTTGAATTGGGACAGTTACTTAGCTGTTTTAAAGCGCATAACTGCTTTTAATGCTTAACTGATTTAAATTTTTTAAAGACGTATAACTTTGGTTAACGACGTTAGCTAGACGGAGCGCCAAATTTAGCTAATGTCCAGCGCGGTCAAAAGATGACGGGAGTGAACGTCAGGTTAACATTAAACTAAACGATTTCTAAAAATATGAGTGTGTTATGGATATTTACCTCGTAGGTATATAAACACTGTATTTGTTCTATTACTTTTGGAGGTGCTGTAACTTTAACGTCATTCTAAACAATTGGACAGTTACAAATTAAGTTTGTCAAGAGTATCTACGTGTTTATATTAAGGTAATGTGAACTGTAAAAGCGGTGGGTAAGCTAAGGATCTTAACGTTAACTTTTTTCTCAACAGAGGCTGTATTGTAGTTAAAACAAGAAAAGCGTTAACCTACCCGCTAGCTTGCTAGGTCTATCCTCCCAGTTATTAAGACGGTGCTTTCCGTTATTTATAGCCTCTTTTCCCCTTGTCATACAGGCTGGACAGAACACAGTTCGAATGAATGAATGACACTTTATTATAGACTCAAGGTCCAGATTAGAACAAATAGAGACTGTTCTGTAAATTTTCATGTCTACAGATTATACAGTCATAGAGGTCTCTAGTTTTAAGTACCCTGTTTTTGTCCCTATTTATCTCATTTCAATGAACATTCCTTGTTGTCTGCATTGTTTACTGTCTGTTTATACTGCTTTTTCTGCATTGTTTGCACTGTTTGTTGATGTTAATACTGCTATTTTGTTATATTACACAGCCTTATGCTGGTTTACTGTTTTGCACATTGAGAGCCGATGTACCTGAGTCAAATTCCTCGTGTGTCCGTCACACCTGGCCAATAAAGCTGATTCTGATTCTGTCTTTGGCAGGTTATCCTCAGTGATCCAGAGATGACGTTGCAGTGGACTGCTGTGGCCCTCTTTCTTTATGTGGAAATGGGCGTCCTTGTCATCCTCTGTTTACCCTTCATCTCAGCCAGCAGGTAGGTATAGTCGCTCAGAACTACACACAGCGTGCTGTGCGCATTACATGGGCAAATGTACTGTAAGATGTGGTGGTTTTGCAGATAACTTGTTGCATTATGCATAGTACAGTTAACGTGTACATACCAGCTGCCTGTAAATGCTAGTGCATGTGTGTTTGCAGGTGGCAGACTGTTTTTCAGCTGAGGATCTGGAGCTGTGTGGCGAGGTTCTGGAACAAAGTGTTTCTCACCATGATCATAATACTTATCGTTCTCTTCCTTGGTGAGTGTAACATCAGATGGCTCAATATTTTTGACACATTTTTGTAAGTGGATCACAACTATAAGTTGGAGTTGTAACCATCCAAAATGGATTGAAGTGTTGAGTTTTAAAACATGAACAGTGAGCAGGGAGGGTGTTTTGGGGATTTTCACAATGCTGCAAGAGAATTGGGGCATAAATCTTAAAAAGCTTAAATGTGAAAGCCAGATTTAACATACTAAGTCTCATCACCAGAAGCCAAAGCACTTTAAACAATATCTTAAACCTGAAAGTTCAATGAAGATGGAAAGGAAGGAAAAGGTATCAGTGTGTAACTCATGCTATGCCTCTTTTTCTTTAGATGCTGTTCGTGAAGTGAGGAAGTATTCAGTTAATGAATTTGGCACTGATGCCAAGCTTCAGCCAAACATGTTTGACCATCTGCACATGAAGCTTTTTAGAGCCCAGAGGAACCTCTACATCTCTGGCTTTGCTGTCTTCCTGTGGCTGTGAGTCTTTGTTCTCAAATAGATACTGATACAGGAGTTGATTAATCATTAAGGAAAATGAGTTAGCTGCAGTCCCAGATCTATACCTTGACCTTGCCTGTTATTTTTGCAGGGTTATGAAGCGAGTGATCACCCTGATTAACCAGCTGGCAGCAGCGTCTGGGACTACAGCTGCTCTACAGGCACAGGCTGAGAATGCCAACCAGACTGCTAAGAAATACATGGAGGACAATGAGCTGCTGAAACAGGTAGGCTCCATAGTGGAAAAAAACTTGGATAGCTCTAGATGAGAATACATACAGAACAGTTTGATTAGCTGGTAAAGAACTGTATTTCATGTATTCACGTCATTATGTATTTTAGTCTCTAATGGAAGGAAAGGGTGATAAGGCAACTGCAGAGGGCATGGAGCTGTTGAGACAGGAGGTGGAGAAACTGAAAGAAGAACTGAAGATCGCAGGAGATGGTTAGTCCATGTACTTGTTTACATGCCCACCAAGCTATTCAACCTCATGTCTTGTCAGCCGCTAGAGGGTCCAGTTAGACTCGCAACAAACTGACACTATAATCCATTCCTAACTGCTTTTTGCTTCTGACATGACTCATTTCCTGGCAAAGCTGTGAAATACTGATGCCAGATTGTACAGAATGCAACCTCCAGTCTGAAGCTAGTGTTGGCTAACAGTACATTTGTCAGTCCAGTAACACTTTGGTTCATGCTAATGTTATCAAAACGAATATTAGCTTTAGATGCTAAGACATCCAGAAGGAAGAACACCACATCTGAATCTAATTTGAGTCCTTTAACTCTAAAAGCCAAACTGATGTTAACTCTGGTTTTTGCTCTTTCTTTGTCCCACTCTCTCTGTGCAAATGAATGTGACCTCTTTGCTCTGGTTTCAAGCTTTTAGCTGCAGAGAGCTCCTCAATGGCTGGCTGTTTGAAATGACTACTCACCTTTTGAAAAAATGTTTCTTATAACCTTTGTTAGGTGGCAGGCAGGGCAGATTTACAAACTGCAGTTTGAAAACACACTTGAGAAAGGCTGGATTAACAACAGAAGAGATGTAGGCAGCAGGGTGTCATGGTATAGCAGTGAAATATTATGTCCTGTCCTGTTTTCACTTGATTTATCAGACTGTGTAAAATCTTAAGCCATCAGATACTGGATATTTAACATTACTGGCTTCATCAGTCTGTTAAAGCTACAGCTTTGTCCTTCAGTTATAGGTCACTTTTACACTGATGTTCCTCATGGCTTCATGGGGGCAGCTGTGGCTCAGGAGTTGGTGTGGGTCATCCCCCAACCACAGGGTTGGCAGTTCATTCCGACTTCTGTGTGTTGAAGTGTCCTTGAGCAAGACACCGGACCCTTAGTTGTAAATCTGTTTGTGTGTGCAAATGGTTGAATAGGAAATAGTTTAAAACGTTTGGTGTGCACTTCAGTGTGTAGAAAGCGCTAATTACCATTCATTCAGACATACCCAGGACAGTGACGGAGCGACCCATGGTACATGCGTGATATTTGCCTTTTTGGTAATGTGTGTGTGCCTATTAATGCAACTGTATGCAGTTTAGACTTGTGCCATGCTAAAAGCGTTAGGTTAATGTTACTAGGTCCAACCTAGTAAGATTTCTGCCACAATGTTTACATAAGTTACCAGGGTGCTCTTTCAGTCATGAAGCCAAAGCATTCAGATGCCATCAGATTAATGGAAAGGAGTACATGTCTGAAAGGGGCTTCAGTTAATGCACTATTAAATACTGTATGTGTATATTGCTTTTACACAGAACTGTAAACTTACAAATGTGTCCCTTCTACAGCCCTAGTGAAATCCCAGTCAGAAGCAGATGTAATGAAGCAGCAGTCAGAGGGCCTTGCCAGGGAGTATGACAGACTGTTGACAGAACACCAGGAGCTCCAGGTAAGGCTGACTGCTGAACACAGCAGGGTGATCACTTGTTGGGCCAATCACTACCTAGACATTCAAACTATTCAACATCAGGTCCTTGGCCATTTATGTTTTAAGAAGCTCTCATTTTTATCAACAACTCAGTCTAAGGAAAACAAATCCCATCCATTTCTAGGATATCAACTAAAGAAACACTGGATTTACAGTGGATGCATGGAATTGGCATAATTACTGTACATTTTCTTTGGGAAATCAAATTTAAAGTTTGACCCCAAATGCATAAATTCAGCATTATATAATATCAAAACATTATCTGATAGCTTCTATTTTTTTTGTGCTTTTTCAGAATCTTCAAGATGGTGGACGTAGAAAAGATGACTAGTAATTGTAAAATGCTTAAAGGACACAATGTTTACACAGCAGCTTAGCCTAGTCACGAGAGAGTCACTGCAACAATGCATGCTTTACCTTCATTCATGGCTCCTCTGAAGTACAGACTAATGGCAGATGTTAGTGTTTTAAAGCATGGAGATGAATTTTTATTAGGGCACCAGATCAGTTTAAATGGATCTGATGATATTTGATGGTTTCCTGTTTTTTCCTTGTGCAGTGTGACTAAGAGGGTTGCTTTCTCAAGTGCACACTATCTGGCAGATTGTGATGATAATTGATTGCACAAGATAATTGGAAAGAATTCAGTCACATATCAACCCAGGTCTGATTACAGAGCATTTAATATGCTAAGACAAATATGCAACAAGGATGTGTGTTATGTGGTTTGCGTCATTTGTTTCTGCCAGGTACACAGTGTAGTGGTAGATTTGTTGAAAGCTGTAGCACGCCAACACTGTGGTAAACAGCTGTGAATGTATTTTGATACTTCAAATTAGCTTTTTTTTTAATTTTTGTATGTAGCAGGTTACCTGCTTAACTACAGTAAGGTCAGTGCAAGGCTGCCTATACAAGTGTAGTTTGCATGTGCAGCTGCAAATAGGCAAATCACTTTCATGTGTTTTTGCTGCGTTTCAGCCGAAGGTGTGTACTCTTTCTAAGTTGTGGTGATAATGGTTGGCAGTATAAATGCCCAGCTGTTCAGTTTTTTTTTTTTTTTTTTTTTGTGCTTTTGTTGTTAATTTGAAAATGTTGGTGAAAATCGGGCATAGCATATTTGAGTATAAGTTGAATCAAAGATGGAAGTTAAACTCTTCTTACGTATGTGTCTGAGTAACAGAGGGTCAAGAGTCTTTTAAAACTGCCACACTGCATGTTTCAAGTGTTTACTTTGGGTTAGAGGACAGGTTGCACTGGGAGTTATGCTGAACGATAAAGGGCCTGTATGGATTTTGTTATCCAGACAGAGCCACGACACTGTGAAAGAGGAGCCGTGATTGTAATCACCAGATATTTGTGTTTCCCAGTTCTTCAAGTTAAAGCAATTATTGCCTTTGTGTATGACATTATGTTTCAAGTCAGCTACAGTGCCTACTCAAGTTGCACCGTGTTTCTGTTTTAGACAAATCCGACTGTAGTGCCTTTAAAGTGGATGTAATACATTTTGCTAAATAAATATGTTTCTTCATCCTGTGTTTTTTTTTTTTTAAAGAAAAATTGTTCAGCTTGTATTTAACTAAGCATTTGTGGATAAATAACACCAACACGAGTCAAGTGAATAAAGTTTTAGTATTACATCTAAGATAGTCCTTGAAATTTTACAAAAATAATACAAGAATTTTTTACATTGATTTCTTTAATGCAAGTAAATGCCTCACATTACTGAGATAAGGACTTTGAGTCTGTACTTGTGGCCACCAGTGCCTGAAACTAACCCTGAAGTCAAAAGACAATAGTTATCACATACTGTAATTTGTCAAAATGGTACATATGTTTCTGAAATAGTCTTACAAAATGATAATATGCTATACATTTACAAAGACAAAAGTATTATTTTTTTAAACAACTGTCTTGAGATCTTACAAAACCATATTGCGTTCAGAGGAAAAAAAAAAAATTGGGCGGATCTCGTAATTATGAGATCTTTTCTAGTAATTATAAGATTGTGATTTCATAATTATAAGATGATGCTGCTGAACTTGTCTGAAAATCATCAGGATTTAAATTCTTTAGTATTAAGTAATTCAGTGATACCTGTCAGTGCAGCCAATAGAGCATAGCAAAAATGAACTAATAGTTCATCATACTTGGCATTTCAAAACAACTATAGGCTAAAAACAGCATCCAAGCTGCAAATTGACTAACCAGTAAAACATGGCAGAGCTTTTGCACATGAGCAAAATAAATGTACAATTCTTGTGATGACACTTCACTTACGGTGAGGTTGCTTGCTTAAAGGCTGGGAAAACATACAGTATATCATTTATCAATGTTGGATCAGTAAAAATTCTGCCTCTGCAAAGGCACGACACCTGGCAGCAGCCAAACACAAGAGCAGACATTCTGCCTCAGCCATTAGTTTCAAACAACAGTTATCTAATAGCAGAGCCTGCTGAGGCTCACTGAGATATTTCTGAGCAATTGAGTCATTTATCAGTCTATACTGTATGTTTTCCTCAATAATGCCATAGGAAGAAAACAGTTCAACAGAGCTAACTAGAACACAGCTTCCATTTTTAGGGAGTATGAAAACCAGGGGTACAAGTTCACATCCACAGAGCACAACACAAACTGCAATACACTAAGACCCAATGTTGGGCTCGAAGTAAAAGACAAAAGTCTGAGTCAGTCAGAAATTTAAGATAAAAGTGATGTAAAGACTCTGACATTTAAAAGTGAAATGTTATTCAGATGTCTATTCAAAATGTGACATAGCTATCTACCATCAGCAAGACAGACGATACACACATAAAGTAGAGGTAAGTGTTGAGTGCATGAGGCACAGATGCCAAATCAACAACTGTCAAGCCCGCTTCGAGTTACTGACATGCATTCAAATGCATATTTCCATGACAACTTGTTTGGCTTTTCTGTTTAAACTTATATTTTAAAAACCCTGTCTCTGTTTGAAGGCCTAATTGTCCTCTTTTGTGTGTTTTTTGAACTTAGTGTTGTGCCTCTGTTTTTTTTTTTTAACACCACTTCCCTTCTGTTCAGTAACACTACTGTCAGGAAGAAAGAGGCAGCTTTATCAGTGCTGGTGTTCAGAATTATACTCTTTTTGCAGTAGTCCGCACAAGTCACATTTCCTAATCTCTTGTGCCACCATTAAAACAGCTGTAGTTTTCTTTATAAAGAAAAAAAGAAACTTCAGTTATATCAAATTTCTGTCAAATTCACAAAGCCTTCACAGATCCAGTAGTATAAATATAGAATTTATGCATTATATGAAATAAATGGATACAACATGTGATTCCCTGCAAAATTCATTTGTGTGCGAGTGTACCTACAGTATCACTCTGTACATACCGTGGGTGTATACACGTGGCTGTTCATCTGAGACGATTGGGGTCAGTTCTGTTGGATCTGTCACAGCCGTGTCTCCCTGTCTGTGCTGTTGTCTGACGAACTAGAAATCCCAAACTCTTCCTTCCTGAGTGCCTCAGGCTCTGTCCCACCTCCACCATTGGCCAGAGCGCTATGAATGGCATTTCTTTCCTCCTCCCTCAACTGCCGACTGAGCAGAATGAAACCCGGGATGCATATAATGAATGAGATGGTCCGCAGGCTCATAGTCAGACCCAGGTATGCTATCCTGAAAAGCAAGGGTGAAAGAAAATACAAGTTAGGACAGATAACCGATGGATGCTGCAGTGGCTTTTTACCCAGAAAATGGCTAAACATGAGACTGAAAATAGAAAATGTTTTTTTTTTATTTATTTGTTAATGGGCATTTATTAATCTCCCTCTTTATTTATGCATGGCATCTAGCAGTTGCTTTCAGAGCCCCTAAGGGTCATCGTGGTGATTCTTTTTTCTTTCTTGTTGCTCCACAATATTTTTTGTACTTGTCTAATGTGTTTTGCCCAACACAGTGCCACTGTTCATAACTGATATCCAGCGATATTTCTGTGGTGGGAATGGGGGAGATCGCCCACCACCCGTCTCTATTCGTGCCTCTGCCCCACCAACAGACTATATAAAATACCTAAAATAAAATTTATCCATCCATCCAATTGAGAGTCACCAATCAACCTAAGCTGCATGTCTTTGGACTGTGGGAGGAAGCCGGAGTACCTGGAGCGAACCCCACGAATTACATCTAAGTGCAAAAAGAAAAAAATCTGATTTAGACAATCAATGTCAGCACTTGCGTGCATGTGTGGCAGAGATGACATCATGGCTACATGATCCTGTTTCTATTGGCCTTGATCCATGTACAGCTTTTTCAGAATATCACTCACCAAGCACAAATAGCCTATGAAAACTACAGCTAGCTGTCCAAATGAAAGAAAAATGAAAAGGATTTAGAGCACCATATCGTCATCTTTTACAGGACCTTCACAAATAATCCTAGAAATATTGTTAGGATACAAGGCAACTGGGTGGCACAGTGGTTAGCGCTGTTGCCTCACAGCGCGAAGGTTCCGGGTTCGGGCCCCACCTGAGACCTTTCTGTGTGGAGTTTGCATGTTCTCCCCGTGCTTGCGTGGGTTCTCTCCGGGTACTCCGGCTTCCTCCCACAGTCCAAAGACATGCAGCTTAGGTTGATTGGTGTCTCTAAAAAGTTGCCCATAGGAGTGCATGTGCGTGTGTCTGGTTGTTCGTCTATGTGTTAGCCCTGCGATGGATTGGCGA